CAATCTTTAAGGCATAAAAGGACCTCTACATTCAGAGAAGACAAAGAAGCACGTTGGGGGCCTAGGATGTTTTTAGTCTTGCTAAAAACCCCTTCGGAGGGAGAGCTGGTCGCTGGGATGGCTAGGAATGTCATCGCCATGTTAGCCAGCCCAGGAAATATCGCCTGGCGTGCTTTCCAATAGGCCAAAACGTCCGTTTCTCGCGGTTCGGTTACCTCGGCCAAGTATCGGCTGATCTCACTGGCAATCGATTGATCATGACGATTGTGTCTATCACCGTAGATGTCATCATCAAAAAACTGAGCGCTTGAAGGGGGTGGCGGTCTTTTGTTCGAGATTTCTTCAACTTCGTTATCCGGAGTGACCTCGTACTTTCTCGCTTGAACTTCAAACATAGCCTTGATGTCTGGCGTGAATAGATCGTAATCGCTGAGCAGGATCTCTCGCTCCTGTAATCAAATTTATTAATAATTTAGACCAGATTAGCACATAGTCGATTTAGGAGGAAGAGGTCTTCGACTTACTTCAAAGTAACGAAGTTTGAGACGCGGATCTAGAATAGTTGCACAAATCGGTCCCGGTTTGGAAATGACCTTCTTGAGGTAATCTTCAAGTTTTGCGGTCATTTTCTTCGACGCCGGGATCAATTGATCGTGATCGTACCTTTGACCCACCTGAAGTAAGGAACAATCTCGATCAACTTGTTAGAAAAGTAGAAAATGTTACATGATGATTATAAAAGTAACTGACCGACTTGAGTCCTTTAATGACTGTGATGTACATAGGCACAACTTGTTGCATAGTTGGATAGTTTGATCGACAAAGCAGTTCTGTTGCTGCATTAAGAGGCTCTAAAAAATCGCACATCTGTTGTACGTAATCCCACTCAGCAGGTGAAAGAGCGAATTTTTTGAAATCACGACCCTTGCAGAATTCATCGCAAGCGTTGCGTAATAGGAGGAGCCTTCTGAACATGTAGTAGGACGAATTCCATCGTGTGGGTACGTCGGGAACCAATCGATTTGGCCCACCATCACGAGAGGCAGGCGTAGGGTGAGGTTCTTCATTGGTGGCGGCTTGAGTCATGTACGCAACTGCTTCATCGTCTTGAGGGTTGTTCGCGCTGGGAGCTGGAGTTTGGGATTGATTGCCATCTGGTTGGGAAGTAATTGCAAGCTGTCGGACCGCTGCGACAACAGCGGCAAACGCTTGCGCTTGTTGTGGACTGGACCGAGTAACCTTCACTAGTCCGTGACACCGGGAGTAGATCGTTTTGAGATTAAATTGAAGGACATCTGGGGGGTCAACCAGATTGCGAACGTCCATCGAGTTTGAGGGGAGGTTGCCTTCTTCAAAATCGACGACTTCACCAAACTCCTTGAGGCCTTCTTTGGCAGCAAGGTTGATAACGTGTGCCACACAACCGTGGACTTGAGTTGAATGATCATTTTTGCTTAATGTCATAAATAGATCACCACACCGATCGCAGCATTGGTACCGACTTTGTCTGCAGTCATTGCAGACAACTTACCAGTAAGGTTGTACTTTTTCAAATACTCGAGTATGATATTGGCAAAGGTGTCTGCATCGTGAGGACCTAGAAGTTAAGAAGTTACAGAAGAATGAGTAACTTGAATTAAAAACCAAAGAAAACAAAAGTGAAAAAAGAGACTCACCTTTAATCTCGCCAATACCGAGTGTGATATCCATCAACTTCCACTCGTTGGTGATGAAATGCCCGGTTAGTGACATATATGGCACATTGTTCGGAGAAGTCCAAGCGTCCTGAGTGATGGCTATAGCGGGAGATACTGAAAGGTACTCTTTCTTGATGTATTCTTCATAGTAATAGTATATCTTCCGAGTGTGTTGAGCAATCGAATGACGTTTGCTGAGCATGCCATTGACTTGGTAGTTACAAAGTGTTAAGAGCTCGCGATAAGAGTTCCGATCGACGATCGAGAAAGGTAGGTCACAGTCGGCGATAAAGTAGGAAACGGCTGTCATGAGGCTAGTGGCATCCAGTTTGCGCTTTCCAACATCAAACGTAAGCAACTTATTTCGTACTGATTGATAAAGAGAAAAAGAAAAAAAAGAACTCACCATGTGGTCCGTCTTGACCTTCTTGAATGAAGCAAGTATATTGGTTTGATTGGGAAGATTCGCGTCACGGATTCCATGTTTAGTCTCGAGATGAGACTTCATGGACTTCGTACTTCCTGTCTCATCGCGCTTGAGTTCCTTGCCGCAAATCGATCCGTCAGATTGAATGACACCACACTTGTTGTAATCACGGGTTCGCAGCTTAACGAAATGAAGCCAGACATACCTTGCTGGACGAACAGCAGCAACTACGGTGTCGGTATTAGTGGTATCTGGTTGATCAGCGGTTAAATCGACAACAGTGGGCGTTTGTGAAGGAACACTGCTTGTGTCACTGATTTGAGACATGTTTCTAAATAATTAGATTTGAAAATGGAATTGGAGGATATTGTTGATGAGTGAAAAGTGATAAGGGAAACTTGGGGGAAAACGAAAACTTGTCTGAAGACCAAGGTCATGGGTCAGGAAGCGGGTGAGGCGATATGAGTTAGAGGGAGGATAACTCTAACCTAATCAAACCTAGTTTGCTCGTATTTATAATGAGTCATGTATTATGAAGTTCTGCAGGGCATTGATAATATCACAAGCACCAAAAAGAGGCAAGCAACCTTTCCTATGCCCAAGTCATATTAGTGGTATCTGGTTGTGTGCCACTACATGCAAAGTGCTGACCCCGCGGATGCGGGGTCGCGGTGACGCCACACAAAACCCAAGGGGGGGGGGTCTTGCAAAAGCGGGGGGTCGATCCAGGGTCAGCGCGACCCCGCACCCGCGGCGTCACCACCTTGCATGTAGTGTGCAGCTTGCACAGATGATTAAAAATAGACGGCCTTTGACCACTATAGCCTAAGTACCATGGTCAAGTGTTCGAACCCGGGGTGTAGAACACTTTTTGGCCCAGGCGCCGGGGCCCCGGCGGGGAACTCGTTCGGGGTCCGGGCGCCCATTTCCACGCAAAAAAACCCGATCGGGGGCCTCGAAACGGTCTCGGGGGGTCTGGTTGCCCGTCGGTTCGGGGGCCGGGCAGGCCATTCCCCGGCGGGTAGTGACCGGGGCTCGGGGTGATTTTGTATGCCGAGTTCTTTGTCAAACTGTTGTTACGACTGCATTTGGGTTGTTTTATGTGTTGAAGGAAATTAGTACGGTTGCTTATTGGATAAAATTTGGCTGCTCTTGTTGGTTATTTTGTAGTATTGATCCTTTCAGTTTCTGGCAATCTGCAAGCAATAGAAATTTGAAAAACGCACACATCACATATGATGCAAATCAACTGGTTTGCAGTAAGTTGTATACATGTTCCATCATATTATTTACATTCTATTGCGTAATCGTCTCGCCTCTCTCAGGAAAATTGGATGATTATGAACATCATAAACAACGCTATCATCACCCCGGCAACGGCGAAGATCGTAAACCACGCCATATGTCTCTTGTTCACAGTCACCTCACCCAACCTTCCCCCTTCTCGTCTTGTTTGGCCATGGTTTTGTTCAACCAAAGTCGCATTGTTTTCTATCAGGTTTCTATCGTTTCCCAATAACTTGCCAAAGTGATGAGCATTGCACTTGAGTTGTGCAGCCATTTTGGATAGCTCATGTGATAGTGCATCCTCATTCAATCAATGATGTATGTATGCTGACGAGATACGAGTTCGTCGAAAATCAAAAATTGATGCGGTAAATGACTTAAGCTGGAGGATAAGGAAAGCAAGGGCATGTTGTCATTGGCAGTTGAGTATGTGCAAAAAGTCAGGAAAAAATGCCGCAAAACGAGGCACTTGCCAGCATAATGCTGAGCCTGTGAAAGGTCTCAGGCCCCGAGGGTCCAAGGTGTATCAATAAGGTTTTGGACATAAATTTTCCCGGTGTAAGCATACATAAGCAGCATGTAAGTATGCTTAAACCAAGAGGGTGTATTATCAGATTCTCAGAAAATTCTCATTCTCACATTCTCAGAATTTTTCCCCCGATTCTTCGGTGCTCCCGAATCATTGTTTCCTTTAGGCCAAACTGAGGGTAGATTGGGGTAGACGATGTTTCAAGGATTGTAACAGTGATGTGTCTTGTGTCTCAGATAGGAGAAGATGGGAGAACGTCTTGAATCGAAGTAGGGGATATTCGTCTCTCAAGACACGAATTGGTGAAACAAGGGATGATCCCCTTGACATAAGCTAGACGGGCGGGATTTGGTCTCTACACGATGGCCGTTTGACTTTGGCCGCTTCGTACACACGTTAAATTTCCGCTTGGGCGGCTCAGCCCAAGAATGTATGCCGAGTCCGGGCTTGTGTATGCGAACTCCTCCGGTGTGCAGGTCACATGGTCATAAATCAGAACGGCATTCTTGTGCCATACTGTCATACATATGCACTTACAATAGAATGTCGATGGACAAAAGTTGGTATGTATCACGTTTCGGATCTTGCGAACTTGCTCACAAGATCACCGGTGAACAAGATGTATCATGCGTGCGATATACAGTCGACTTCCATATGCTGGGCCTCTACTTCTTACGTCACACTAAACTCTTCGAAATGTTTGGAGGCAATACAATCAGGCCTGAGCTGTGTCCTTTAGTTTGGCACATTGCTCGACTGAAATGATCTCCTGATTCAATGCACCTATGTCATTTCTCCTGTGTTTTGAGTTTGAAGCGAGCTCGTTCGGTTTGAGGTATGTGGTTTTCAAGCAGAAGGGATAGTCACCGCCGGGCTTGGGTAAAGCAAACTAACTCTTTCTCGCGCGTATGCTTCGCTGTACCTACTCACAGTTTAGAGCATACAAAGAGGACTCAACCGAACTTTATATTTTCCGCACATCGTCTCGCGTCGGGCTCAAGCACCAAATTGACCTCAAAGCATCACACCATTCTCAGGCGCCTTTTCATCGTCGTATACCATGCGGAAGACGTCGGGATGGATTCAGGTCTGGGTCACGGTGGGGTTGCGAGTCTTGGTCAATATGCATAAGCCCGATATCGCAACAGCATATGTCTTACGTCCGAGGGACCTGGCGATTTCTCAATCACCTACGGGCGGCTATGCACCCACGAAGATCGACTGTCCTGCTGATTTACGCATTCGGGATGCTAACATGTATCCAGTTCGTACAATTCTTGCAGTGATGATATTCAATTCTCCATTGCGTTTTAGGATAGAGTCTCTGATGTAAGATATACATGATAGTGGGGTTTAAGTCAAGGAGAAGAGGCATATATATCAAGCAAAGCAAATCTTTCAATACCTCTGTGGTCAGATTTCTTGAAACAAGCTGGGTTGAAGGATTTTGATATTGAAAATTTCTTAGACAGAGCGACCACAAATGGAGCCCGTGCTGGTGATACTGTGCCCAATGTCGCACTGGCTTTGTCTGGGGGAGGAAATCGTGCACTATTGTACTCTTCATCAATTTTGGATGCTTTCGATTCCAGGAATCCAGAGGCCATGAAAGCACGAACTGGTGGAATCTTACAACTTGCGAATTATGCTACAGGGCTATCAGCGTTTGTCTCAAGCAATTTGTCTATCAATCAAATCAAAAAGCTGTTAATGTAAATTTTTGTTTGATCACAGGGGATCGTGGCTCTTGGGTAGTTGGGCGACCTCAAACTTCGAGAGATTCCCTTCACTCAATCAAACGGTTTGGGGTTACACCAAGAAAAATGGTTATCTCAGCTGGCGCAATCTGAAGAAGTACCCCAAATATTATTCGGATACAAAGAAGAAGAAGAAAGCCGGATTTGCCGTCAGTTTTGTAGAGTTAGTTTCAACACCTGTGCCAGATTTCTTGCTCTTTAACTTCCCGACCCATCTCAATGACCCAACTGTGATTCCTCCTCTAGCATATGGGCACGGATGCTGGGTACACAGTTCATGTAAGTCATTGAACCCAAGTGAAACAGAAAAAATAGAGGCTGATACGCTTGCTCTTTGAATACAGTAAAGATCCAGAAAAAGGCAAGGGCGTGCTCTTCTCATCTGTAAGAGAAACACCAGCATACAAAGACCGCATATTTCCGTTGCCTATCTTGGTGTCCCTATCTAGGCCAGGCACAGGCAAAATGATAACACTGCAAAGTCCAATGTGTAAGTTTCCCCAGCTGAAATACCTGAGCATCGGCTCACGGTTTGTTTTTCAATCACCAGACGAGTTTACTCCAGAAGACTTTGGAATATGGCATCCTCTTTTGAACGCTTCGATACCTATGGAATACCTCGGGAGTAAAGCCTCCGCTATGAACGATCAAGCTATAACTTGCACAAAAGGTTTCGACAATATGGGGTACTTATATTCTTCTTATAAATCCCGCATGTATTGGCATTCTTGACTTACCCAAGTGTGTGGGATGATGCTTATGACATTTTCGGGCCCAGTTTCTTGATGGCACGTTCAGTAATAGATCAATCTCCTTCAAAATTTCCTGACCGCCCTAACACAGGAAATTTGCCTCACTTTAGGGTGCTTCGAGTAATGTCTTCAGCTTTCAGGTGAGCCATATTTTCAAAACGACTATACCGCACTTATCCAAGGTCTATGTGAATGACAATTGCTCTACAGGACGGCTCGGATCCGGACCCACCATTTTGGGCAAAGCTCCTGAAGCTGTTCATCAAGGGTGAATTTTATGAGGCATTGGTTAGTACCATTAACTAGCTTCTCCGTAACCACGACCAATCGAAAGTGTTGATAATTTTACCATCAGGTTCCGAATCCCTTCCAAGGAAAAGCAGTTGGAATGTTTGGCGACGTGGGATTTGAAGACTCGAATTTAGACACCCTCCTACTCGCTGATGGTGCCATGGCTTCGGAGAATCTACCTCTCTTCCCTTTGATACAGCCAGCCAGAAATGTAGACATCATACTGGCTATAGACTCGGTGAGTTGAGAAATTTGACGGTGAGTGCGAGTACCTGTCAAGCTAACATGAATTAGTTGTTTTGTAGACCGTTAATGGACACTCATTTGAAAATCCAAACGTCCATGGTTGTCAGTATTATCTCAAACTTCCACTCAACTCACAGCTTGCTCAACTCCTTTGTAACAACAGATCCAAATGGCACTACCTTATACTTAACTTCTCTCAAACTGCAAGACCCAAACTACCAAGGTTACGCATTCCCAAAGTCAGTGGCCAAGTCCTATGCCTGAAGTTTCGCTCTCAATTGAATAGAGAACACTATTGATTTATGTTTGAGGGGTATTTAAATCACAGAGTACCCAACGCAATGGATGGCAGCTTTACCTCTGCTGGATATGATAGAAGACCGACACTGTTCGGATGTGAGGATCCCAACGCACCCCTGATACTCTACCTTCCCAACCATTTTGTATCAGCACAAACAGACATGCCAACCATGCAAACGGACTACACTGTAAGAGCTCTTCATTACATTTGGTCACTGACGAGCAAGTTGACATATCTGCATTTCTGAACCCTTTATTGTTTGAGAAGTGGCAAGAGATTGATGGATTCTTTCAAAACGGTTTCCATATTGCAACTCAATCCAACTCGTCATATGTTGATCCTGAATGGCCTGCATGTTTGGCTTGTGCAATGATCGAAAAGCAAAGGATTCGAAATTCACAAGCCCGAACCGGCCAATGCTCTGCTTGCTTCAGTCGATACTGTGCTAAATGAGCAACTCGGCGTCATATAATACATTTTCATTTGAAGAACAATCACTTTGTAATTAATGTTGACCTTTATTTCATTTCTTTTTGTCGCAAAACACCCGCCGCTTTGATTGCAATTTGTGGACTGTTTGAATTTGAGTTTTTTGTTCTTTTTTTTTCCCCAATGTTATTACTACTCAGTTAGCACGGTTTATATGCAAGCAACTTTCGTACAGACTATTCATCATTAATTTAAACTTGATATTGAAATTTCCAAATATCATATTGTCTGGCATAGGGGGCTGGCAGGACCCAGGAATGCCCCTATATAGGGTAGTGATCTGGAGAAGTGCCTTTTAAGCTCCCTTGGATCTCCGGTCCTGCAAAAACACTAAGTCTTCCCAGATCTAAACCTGGTTTCACCCATAGCTGTAAGGGCAGTTTGATCTTCCCACAGACTTTCTTGGAGCCTTTCACCCCCTTTGACAACTCCAAATTTGCACAAACTCTCCCTTCTGAAATTTCAAACTACACAAGCAATCTCCACTCTGTTTGTATGTAAAAACATTATATTCCAAAAACATATCTAGAAAGGGTGAAGAAGATAAGATAATTCAACCCAAGATGTTACATGAGTAAGAGGATAGCAATAATCAAAAGCATAAATGGTCAGAAATGATCAGAGCTGCTCATATCCCATGAATTGTAACACCACGGGACCTCAAAAGGCACTTCTCCAGATCACTACCCTATATAGGGGCATTCCTGAGTCCTGGGCTGGCACCCATATCAATATCAGCTTTACACCACGGGGCGACTTTGAACTGGGACCACATGAAATGTAAGTTGGGTATGAGCACGCCGAGTGGTTGTGCAGAACAGGTGGCCGCAGTGTGAGTGCGGCCACGTGGCCCTCACCCAATGTTTTTCACCTGCTCTACACATCAAGAGAAAGACCACGTCGGCATGGCGTGGTTTACCAGCCAGTCGGCGGGTGAGCTGGTTGGTACGAGCGCAACCTGCCAGCGAGGTGCCCAGCACGTGATTCAGATTGCGTGCCGGTGGTACACGCTGATTTGCCTGCTGAGCACCTGGCTGGCAGGTGAGCTAACCAGCCAGGTGCTCAGCAGGCGATTGAATTTGGATCAGGTGCTCAGCACGTGATCCAGACTGCGTGCCGGTAGTATAAGCTAATTCGTCTGCTGAGCACCTGGCTGGCATGTGAGCTAACCAGCCAGGTGCTCAGCAGACGATTGAATTTGGATCAGGTGCTCAGCACGTGATTCAGACTGCGTGTCGGTAGTATAAGCTAATTCGTCTGCTGAGCACCTTGCGGGCATGTGAGTTGACTACTTCTAAACTGTTGATCATTTCTCAAGATTGAAGAAGCTTCTTTTTCTCACATGACCTGCTGTGGTAATCAAAACCACTCCGAGCTCAGCATTTTATAGCTGAAGCTCTCCTACCTATTCTCAAATTTATATATATTAGTATTTCATCTTTTGCTCGCGGGGACAGACTCTCACTCGGTCTATCTCAAGGGTCAGCAAGTCAAAGCTCAGCTCAACTTTACTCAACTCAAGTTATAATAGTTTATCTTTTAATTTAATAGCACGAGATTTAAATTTAATATATTACAAAGTTGAAAGAGAGAAATTTAAATTTATAGGGAAAAGAAAAGAGTTTAGAGGAGGTAACTGGAAAGTAAAAGAAAAATGAGAGTGATTTAGAGGTTTGATTGAACAAAGTGAAGATCAGCGAGGTTGAAGTAAGAGAAGGATTGGCAAGATCGAGGAGTGATCGGAGTTGAGAGTGATCGTCAACTTTTGGGGCCTAGGACTAAGTAGATCCTAAGGTTGAATGAATCAAAACAGTCAGTCAAGTATCACGAGTAGAGTTAAGAGAAAAGAACTTACAACGAATAAAATAATATATGAGTATAGAACAATCAATTAGCCAGAAAGTATGATCGGATGGAAAGGATGAGTCGTGAGGGAGACGGATCGAAGTGAATATCAGCGGGGTTGAGAAACGATCGGAGCGGTAAAGTTGTGATCTGAACAAGAAGAAAGAAGAATAAATAAACAAACAATTAGTCTAAAAAATACAAGTAGATACAAAGAAAGAACTTACTATATGATGATAGATCAGTGATCAGTGAGAAGAGGATGAACTCACGTTTATCAATTACAGATCGATCAGGTCGCAAGATATTGACAATCTAAGCGATGAATTAATGATCACGCTCACACCCGGGGCCCCGAAGCCACGAGGCGCCCTGGAGGGGCACATGGCCGGGGCCAGGGCTTAGGCCACGTGTGGCCCTCACCACAAGCCCTTCATGACCTTCATAGTGCATGAAGTTCAGCTTAATTCCCCTTCAAAGAGTGCCTTAAGCAGGGAGTAGCACCTGAAGATGAGTTGGGCTATGATCAAAAGTTGTTTCAAGGGCAGGCCACACAGGGCTGGGCAGGGCTGGGCCACGGCCCTGGCCACGAAAAAGGTGCCGGGTGTGAGCGTGAATTAATGAGGAATTAAAAGAAAAAATCGAAACAGGGCTATTAAAATAGAGAATGAATTGCTGGAGATAGAAATAGATTGGTAAAAATAAGGAATCAACAATGTGAAAGGAACAATTAGTTAGCAGAGACAATGAGATAAGAAAGATAAAAATAAGAAAGGACTTACTTGGTATTCAACCAATTCCAAGATCGAGTTGAGAACGGAATTGGTCAGAGTAGGTCCGAGGTCAACAGAAGCATGTGACCAGAGAGATTTATAAATATGAGAGAGGTAATAAAGGAGGCTTCAGGCCGAGTTGTGGGTTGGCTTTGGAAAAGATGTGTAAGGGGAGGCCTGTTGGTGAAGAAGGGAGGATCACTTATCAATCTGCGTCTGATTTTTTTTAGTGTTTGTCTCTAAGTGAATCTTGTGTGCGTTTGAAAGTGTTCTTGTCTGTGTTAAAGTGACATTGTGATTGTTTCGAGATAGTATGAGTGGTTGTTGCAAGTGTTCTAGCTTAAGAATCGGAAAGACAAGAGAAGTTCTTTTTTATTTGTTTGATTATTATCAATTTAGCAGAAGAGATGAGATAGAGAAAGAGACACTTACTTTGATAAAGTGTTAGGTCGTGTTTGTGTTGAGAGTCTTGTGATCGCGGTATTGAGTTGTTGTGTTCTTTTTGATTGATTGTTTATTCTTTTTTGGCTGGTTGGTGAGCTGGACCACAACAAGTCAAAATCAAAAGTCACCAGCCCGCCTCTTGATTCAAGTCAAGGCCGGGTTGAGTCAGGATCCGAAACTTCATTTTGGACCGGTACATTTGTTCCACGTGCATCCACAGCCATGTTATCTTCAACATTGAAATCAACATATCTTCACACCACAAACTTGTGTAGAGTGGTGAGTGGTACCACTAGACTCCTGCAAACCCTGCAGATCCGGTTAAGAAAATTGAATTATTGTATGGGAGAAAACAGGACCCTGGAAAGCACCTATGGAGGTGGGTGACAAAAAAGGTTGGGATTTTGACCAGAATTAAGCCTAGGCCTTAGTGACAAAAAAGGTGCAAATCGAGGTTTTTGGCAAAAATCATAGTGGTTTAAAAGTTCAGAATTGTGATCTCAAGTCAACAAATGACAATAGGTTGGTCACGTACAACATCAGAAAAACATTGGAAAGTGACAGAGGGCATGTCATACAATTCACGCTCACACCCGGCGGCTTTTGCAGGGCCCAGGGCGTGGCCAGGGCCATGGCCTAGGATGGTGTGGCCCAATGTGGCCTTCCATTCAATGAACCTCAGATCTGCATTTTTGGTCGCCATTCCCTGCTTAAGACCATCTTTAGGGGGACTTTGACTGAATTCCATGCCCGTTGAAGGCCATGAAGGGGTTGGTGTGTGGGCCATGGTGTGGCCTAAGCCCTGGCCCTTGCCATGTGCCCCTCCAGGGCGCCTTGTGGCTTTGTGGCACCGGGTGTGAGCGTGACATACAATGGCGGAAAAAAGCTCAAGACATGTAAATATATATATGTGGTTTACCACAGACGTCCTCACACTGTGAAATCCAGGGTACAACCCAAACGGGGGTGTGGACTCAGGTTGCGGGTCCAAGCCAGGGTGCGCCGCACACCCGGTGTCACACCCAAAACACCTAAAGGGCAAAAAAGGGGGGTGCACGGGATGCAAGAGGGCCCAGCTTTTGGGAAGGTGTTCAAATCTTCATCTTCCATTTTTAACTTCCTCCCACATACTAGAATGGTGATGGATGAATCAACCATTTCCCAGTGGATCCAGCCAAACTCTAAACAGGGGGTCCAATGGCAAGGTTTTCTGACAACAGCAATCCAAGAGGATCAGAGAGACTGTCATACAGTTGAGATTTCAGACAATCCCAGTGTGACCTGGAGTGCCAATGATCTCTTGAAAAATTCCCTCAATATGCTTCAGGTTGTTTGTCTACTTGAAATGCTATCCACACAATGTAAATGCTTCATATGAGAACAAAAGAGAGAATTTGGGTAAATTTGAGTCATTGATCCATCCCAAAGAATGCCGGTCAAGACCCGGGTGTGTTGCACCCCTTGCACAGGGGTGCAACACGTTTTTGGGGGCAAAAATTTCTCATCCAATCACACTCAAAACTCATTTGCCCATGTTCGAAACTCATTTGACCACATTCAAAACTCATTTGATCACACTCAAAATTCATCCAATCACATTCAAAACTCATCCAATCACATTCGAAACTCATCCAATCACATTCAAAGCTAATCCAATCACATTTGAAACTTGTCCGACCACATTTGAAACTCATCCGATCACACTCAAAACTCATTCGACCACATTCAAAAGGAAGTTAATAATTTCACAAAATAAACACAATATCTGATTAAAATTATAATAATTTACATCAACTCGAACAATCTCAGACTCATCAACAGTTAAACTTCGTCTTCAGGTGTTGAGGCACCATCAGGATTTACCCAGGTGTCAAGACCCTGTGTGACAGAAGCGCACCATTC